TACCATCTGTTAATGAAGTTTCCAATAAAGAGCCATGTGGGGACAATTTGAGAAGACTAGCGTGTAATAAGAGAGTGCTACGTAGTATCAATGAAGCAGAAGGAAGTTAAAACCATACAACTGGATAAGCTGAAAACAAGACCAACACCTTTGGAGGAATTGGAACCCGTTCAACTAGAAAATGACCAAGGACACTTAGTGTATGTAGGTTCCAAGTTGCTCAAGGAGCTCAAGCACCTCCTCATCTAGTTCCTAAAATCAAATATTGAGGTGTTTGTTTGGAAACTAGAGTATATGTAAGGGATTGACCCCTCGGTCATTGTGTATAAGCTCAACATCGATCTGACCTTCAAGCCCACAAAGCAGAAACGAAGAAGCTTCGCCCTTGAGTGACAAAAAGCTATAAACGAAGAAGTCTCTAAGCTCCTTTTGGCCAAAGCCATCAAGGAAGTGGATTATCCGACCTGATTGGAAAATGTGGTGCTCGTGAAGAAAATCAATGGAAAATGACACCTTTGCATTGATTTCATCAACCAAAATTGCGCCTATCCGAAGGAAAGTTTCCCACTCCCACGGATTGACCTAATTGTGAATGCCATAGCATAGCACAGCTGTTTAGCTTCATGGACGCCTTCTCAGGATGAACCCCTACGACCAAGAAAAAACTTCATTCATGATTGAGGAGGGATATACTACTATTAGGTTATGTCATTCAGGCTAAAAAACGCAAAGGCCACCTATCAGCGGCTTGTAAATCGTATGTTCTAAGGGCTGATCTGGTCATCTCTAGAAGTATAACTTGATGACATGCTGGTGAAATCACCAAAGGCCTAGCTCCATATCCGGCACCTTGAAGAATCTTTTTAGATACTCAAGAAGCATAAGATGAAGCTTAACCCTGCAAAATGTGTCATTGGGATCTCCACAAGAAAATTCTTAATCTTCATAGATTACAGTCGTGGCATCGAGGCCAATCTAGAGAAACTCCTAGTGGTGACTGACATGCATCCACCCATAACATAAGGGAAGTTCAACATTTGACAAGAAGAATAGTCGCATTAAGTCGATTCATCTCCAAATCAAGCGACAATTGCCAGACATTCTTCAAAAGACTGAAAACAACTTTTCATTGGGATGAGCAATGTGGGGAGGCATTCAAAGATCTTAAGGAGTACCTCAGCTCACCTCTAGTTCTGGTTAGCCCTCGAAAAGGGGAAGTCCTTACCCTGTACCTTGTTGTGTCATATTTCTTCACAAGCACAACTCTGGTAAGGGAACAAAACAAAGCTCAGTAGCCAATCTATTACTGTAGTAGAGCTCTAAAGGGGGAAGATGAGAGGTAGCCAAAGATGGAGCTAGTTCTGGCCCTGGTAACAACAACGATAAGGCTCAGGCCCTATTTTCAAGCTTATACAATAGAGATCCCCATGAATCAATCAATGAAACAAATGTTGCACAAGCCTGAATTGTCAGGAAGATTAGTGAAATGGGTAATTGAGCTCAATGATTTTGACATCAAATATAACCCCATGACTGCCATTAACCGATTTTATTTCAGAATTCACCATTCTCGTCGAACAGGAAGCACCTGAGGACTTAAACCACCTCATCCTCGACCTCTTGACATGGAAACACTTTGTTGATGAGGAGTCTAACGCACAAGGCTATGGAGCTGGATTGATCCTGACCTTATTAGATGGAATAGACCTGGAGAACACCCTCAGGTTCAAGTTAAGGCTTCAAACAATGAAGTAGAGTATGAAACAATGATTCCTAAGCTCAAGTTAGCTAATTCTATGGGAGTAGAACAACTTATAATACATAGTGGCCCATAATTGGTGGTAAGGCAGATCGAGGAGACGTACGATGCCAGGGAAAAAAGATGGCTAAATTTAAGAAAAGTGCAAGATTTGCTGAAAAGTTTTGTTTAGGTCAAGATTGTGCAAATTCCCGAGTAAAGAATTCCCGGGCCGATGCTCTAGCCAAACTGGCCACTACCATCCAAGAAAATTTAGACATATTTATCCTAGTTGAACACCTAGTCAAGCCCTTAGTGAAATTCTGAACTAGAAAAAGGTTTCTCCATTAGTACACTGCCGATCTGGATAGACTCAATCCTAGTTTATCTACAAAACATAACTCTACCTACAGATTCTAAAGAAGTAGCAAAGCTAAGAATTAGGTCATCTAGATTCACCCTTATCCACGAGAAGTTGTATAATAGAGACTTTTCTTCACATCTCTTAAGGTGCATTGGAGAAGACGAAGCAAACTACATCCTATAGGGAGATTCATGAGGGAATTTGTGGAAACCACATCGGAGCTCGAACCTTAGCCTATAAGGCACTGATTCAGGGGTAATTTTAGCCTACAATAGTCAAGGATGCAAGAGAGCTAGTCAAGAAATGTAGGGTCTGTCAACTCCATGCAAACATCCCGCATTGTCTGCCAGAGCTGCTAACCTCAGTGGTAAGCCCTTGGCCCTTCCAACAATGGAGACTGGATTTACTAGGACATCTCCCAGTTAGCACGGGGCAATGCAAGTTTGTCATAATTGAGGTCGATTATTTCACTGAGTGGGCCGAGGTGGAATCCTTTACGAGGATCATAGAGCAAAAAATTCAAAACTTCATTTGGAAATCTATGGTCATGATTGGTTAGCTTTTCAGAAACTGTTTTTTGTTCTCAAAATTTCAATAATAGTCAAAACCTGTTAGTTTAGTATTTTTGTTCTCAAAATTTTGAGAAAAAATAAGGTTGAGTTAAAGAAACAGAAAACATGTCTAACTTGTTTTCAAAATGTTCTTTGAAAATTTTAAAAACAAGGAGAACAATTTTGAACTTTAATGAGGTCTGCCTTTCGAGTCTTCTTAGCAGCAAATTTCTTCATTCCTTTTTTTTTTTACTTCTTCCTCTCTTTCATAATATATATTATATTTTAAAGTTTGATTTATTGAAATTTTTTTATGAAATAATCAATCTAAAAATAACTTTCTCATATTTTTTTATTAATGTTTGAATTACTGTTCAAACATATATTTAGACTGTCCAAACAGGTTTTACTATTTTCTGTACTGTAAAATTATTTTTGAAATCATCTAACCAAACAAGTTTTTTATCTCAAAAAGTATCAAAATCATTTTCTTAAAACTCTTCTCAAAAACTATTTTCGGATACTATTTTTTGAAACGCAAATCAAACAGGCCTATAATTTTCAGGTTTGAGATTCCAAGGGCCCTCGTCTCAAACATTGGGAGACAGTTCAAAAAATTGACGTTCAAAGGGTTTTGTGTCGAGCTCGGTATAAAGAACTACTTATTTGCACTAGCTCATCTGCAGTCCAATGGGCAAGAGGAAGTCATTATCTAAACTATAAAAATGGCTATAAAAACTAGACTCGAAGCTTCAAAAAGCCAATGAGTGGAGCATTTGCCAGGGATACTATGGGCTTATAGAACCATTGCTAGAATAGCCACGAATGAGACACATTTTGCTCTTATCTATGGCATTAAGACAGTGATTCCTATCGAAATAGGAGCTCAATCTCCAAGGACAGAGCTCACAAATCCAAAACAAAACGATGGATCATTGCTTGTCAATCTTGACTTGTTAGATGAGAAAAGGAATAGTGTCTTGCAGCGTATCGTAGATTTTTAGAGGAAGACAACACGATACTACAATAGGAAAACTAAGCAAAAAAGTTTCAAAGTAAGAGATCTTCTCCTAAAGCTCTTCCTAGCTAGGAAGGACCCTACAAATGGGAAGTTGGGACCCAACTATGAGGGCCTGTACGCAGTCACAAGGGTGGTCAGACCAGGAAAGTACAAGTTGCAAATTGAGAAAGGAAAAATCTTACATCACTCGTGGAATGCAGAGCATTTGAAAGATTTTACCAAAGAAGAAAACTCATTTTTAAAGATCTTCAGCAATAAATGAAAGATTCAAATCATTTAGAACATGCATTGAGTTGTTAAACTAATAAAACTAAAATGATCTCCTCAGCTCATAAATAAGTGATGAGCTCTTCAGCTCATAAATCAAAAGATGAGTTCTTCAACTCATAAATAAACGATGAGCTCTTTAGCTTATAAACATAAGATTAGTTTCTCAACTCATAAATAAACGATGAGCTCTTTAGATCATAAACTAAAAATGAGTTCCTCAACTTATAAATAAACAATAAGCTATTCAGCTCATAAACTAAAGATAAGTTCCTTAACTCATAAACAAATGATGAGCCCTTTAGCTCATGAATAGAGCTCTTCAGGCTCAAAAATGTTATATAAGGTCAAGTCTAGGGGGACACAAAACCTCAAACTTGGCCTCACAAATAGAAATTTTGAAATAAACTGCTTCCAGAAGACCAAAGACACTTCTTGGAGCATAGGGCAAAAAAGGAGACATATCTCCACACCTCAAATATGAAGAAAGGAATAATTACAAGCATAAAGAAAGGAAAACTTACTAAGAAGAAATTTTTCAAAATCAGTTATTAATCAAACTAGAAGAAAGTTACAAAGTTGGCTAAGAATCTGCTACAGGATTAGTGGTCTCTTCAATGCCTCTAGTAAAATCGGTGTTAATAACGTTCGCCTAACCTTTAGGCAGAGTAGGAGCTAGGTCTGATTGTCCCTTAGGTAAGGAAAAAGTTGGGTCTGACTAGTCTTTAGGCAGAGTGGAGGCAGAAGTCCCCACCTCATCAGAAACAACTGTTGGGACCTCATCAGAAGTAGCCATTGGAAGAGCAAGCTCAGAAATCTCCACCTTAGCATAGCTGCAGATTCTTTCTCAGTAACTTCTTCCTCCCCAGCAGAGGATTTTTCTTCTTCCTCTCTAAGGGGAGGCTCAAAGTCAAAGTCCAGCTCTAGGTACTTCTTTATGGCCTGCGTCTAAAAGGCGAAATAGCCCTTAGCCTAGGCAGTGGTGTACTTATCCTTCAGCTCAACTATTGTGGTGTCCCTCTTAGCTACCCTAGACCTCTCTGTATCAATCTCCTTAAGCTAGACAACATTGGTGTCATTCAGCTCTTTCAAATCATCCTTCAATGCCTTTGTCGCTTCCCGTGCCGCCACCACATCTATCCAAGCTTGAGCGAGACCATTTGTCTTGAGTTTGATCTCATTCGTCTTGAGCTTGACCTTAGTCTCAAGCTTCTTTATGGATGAGTTCAAAAGGCGAAAGAGGTCCAACATGAATCTCCATCTGCAAAGAAAAAGAAAAACGAAAATAAAGCCAACTTAAGGGTCACCAAGCAAAGCTGGATTCAACGAATGGACTCTAATTAAAGGTAGAAATCAGGAACTCACCAAGGTTGCCCCATACAAGGCAGTGGTAGCTGAGGTGGAGAGGGGCATTAAGGACGCCTCTTGAAGGTTAGCTTCGGGGATGATCGAAAGAATGACACTAATAGCTAAGTTCACATCTCCAAGAAGAGAACACGCACCTTTGGCCATCTTAGCTGAAGAACTCCTTGATGAACTGAGAAATGGTGATGGAGGTCCTGAAGAGATGGAGCTATTGCATCTGAAGCCCTGACCACCTCATTCAACGTTGGAGAGGTCTTGACGACCTCTATAGGAGACTTTTTAAGTTCAGAGGAAGGGAAATTAACCTTATGAACATCCACAAGGGGCTTGGGGGCAAGATGAGCCTTCTTTGGAGAATCCTTCTTCGTAACCTTCTGATGACGTTTCAAGTCATCACCTAACCTGACCTTCGCTTTCTTCTTCCTAGCAGCTTTGGAAGTTTGAGCGTTTTCCCTCATTTTAGCTAGCTTGGCCCTCTCGGAATCAACATTAGGGCCCATAGCGCCAAGATCTAGAAAAGAAAGGGTAGCTCAAAGGTCAGTTGAGGATCCTACGAAGTAAAACAAAAATCCAAAGTACCTAATGGAGGTTTTACAACAACTTCACCTTTCACCTCCGAAGGTCCAAGGCCGTATCTGGCAAGGATTGAGGGCATGAGAAGCTCGACGTATTTCTCATGAAGACACTCCTTAAGGTCCCTAAGGAGGAGCTTCTCGTCAGTGTCAAGCTTAGTACAAATACCTGAAACAACAAAAGAAGACATCTACAACTAAAGAAAAAAAGAGGAGATAAAATAAGAAGAAGCTCAACTAATGCACCCCCGCACGAACTCACCTAGATCATCTGGGCCTGACCAAGCTTGAGGTATGGGAAGCATGTTAGAGGCATCCCTCGAATTGAACTCCCACTCCTTGGCAGGCACAAAAAAAGGTTATTTTTATAACCTTTGTGGGAGCTTGGAAGGTCGGTAATCAAGTGTTAGGTTTTCACCCATTTCGAGATATAAAGAAATCTGTTAGTGGGAAAGAATTTGACATTGAGGAAATACATGAGCAAAGGAACAAAGGGGAAACTAGCCAGATCATTTTTTTTTAAAAAGACCATAAGGATTACTAAGATATCCCAAAAGTTCGAAGAAATTTAACCTGGGCAAACAATGAAATGATAGAGAACAAACTTCAGAAAGGGGTGCATAGGAAACCTATGATCATTCTCAAAAGCAGCAAAGAAGATGTAGGTCTTTTTAGGGAGCTCGGTGTCATATCGATTGTCCACATTGGGAAACCAGACATGCATGTCCCTAGGGAAGCCAAACTTGGCAGAAAGTGCACCAAGAAAAAGAGGGGTGACATTGTTCGGTCCCGAGATGTCTAAGGCACTCGGATTGACCTCAACATCCTCGGTCGTGCCCGAGGTCCCAACCATGTCCTTTCTAGATCGTCCCTTTCGAGACTTCTTAGGTTTCGTAGCTGGGCCTGAAAGAAGCAAGGGAGCCCTAACTCTAGTAAACTGGGTGTTGATTCCATCAACCCTGGGAAAATTGTCTATCTTATCTCCCACGTCTCCCAGGTCGCCAATTTTGTCAGGGTCTTCTTCTACAATCTGTTTGCTACAACAGGATCGAACCTCGACCTCGACCTCGAGAGACCTGTTAGCCATTGCAAGGGAGACAGAAGATCTCGTGGCCTTAGAAGAAGTAGACAAAAGGGCACAAGGGAAAAAGTAACCAAAAAAGCATAAAGAGAAGGGACGTTCAAGAAACAGTCCTTGAGGGCTCGAGGATCAAGACTCCAATGACCAAAGAGAAAGACCCTAGTTGTGACGTAGAGATCTAAGAAAAGGGGAAAAAATGACAAAGAACGACCCAGACTCCTAAAGTAATAGAAGCGAAATGTCCAGAAGTGGAATAACAAGTACGGTTGGACGCGTGACACAAAGACGTTGAACATGTGTGATAATCAAGGCAAGAAAAACTCCTCGCAAGCGTGCAATGCCGAAAATCCTAGAAAATGTCCCATTGTGCCCCTCCCAAGTAAAAATTGAGCTGAGCTTGTCCACAATAGTGCAGGTCATTCCCAATCCACATCAAGGAAGGCTACCTGGCTAAGGGTTGGGGGACAACTGATCATACCAAAAATTAGCTAAGGCTAAACTCAAACCTCTTAGTTCAAACATCTTAGCTCGCACCTCTCAGCTCATGATCATTAGCTTGGGAGGTGCAAGTCAGGAATCATCACCAATGTGACCCTCGTGCAGATGGTGACAGCGGCAGCTCACACCTTCCAAAAGTTCATGTCATGCTTAGGGAATATAGCATCTAATTGCCAAATATTTAGGCACATTGGTCGTAACAACCTTAAGGGGATCACGTTGATTATACAAGGATCGCATTGGTTACGGGAGGATTACAAAAATCACGCAAGGCAACTGAATACTATAAATAGGGATCAAATTCCTTGCATTGTAATCAATCAAGCATATATGCCATTAACTCTATATAATTCTATAACCTTTTTCCCCGAGTAATAGAAAACTCCCCCAAGAGCAAGAAACTCCATTAAAGTGGACTAGCCAAGCTTCTGTGCTAGTGAACCACTATAAATATTCAGTCTACTGATCTTTGTTCAAAGCTATTTAACTCTTGAATCAATTGTTCAACCTCCAAGAGCCTAGAAGATTTGACTGGATATCCGAGTAAACCCCATCAACGTCCTTAACAAGATCCTCAAACCATTCGACTCTACTCAACCGCGTAGAACACACCATCACTTATATTACCAAGAAAAAGAACTAACATTCTGTCCATGTAGAATCAATTGAACTATCCATCATGTGAAAGTGGAACTATTCGTATTTAGCACTGACTCAATTTATTTATTATTCATGTTAGTAGATTTTATCTCTTTTGTGTTCCTCTTATCTTGTTGGATTTTAACGGTCAACATAAAATAAAAAAAACTCATAGCTACCCAATGATTTCTTCTCTCCCACGCATGCCTCTTCTTGAAGGGCCCTCAAAAGGCAACAGATAGACGAGGAATGACCGACCATTTGCTTAGTTTTGAGCTCCGAGAACATGGTGCTTGCCCCTATTTTTATCAATGTCTCAACATACATATTTTGCACCTTTTAACAACTTTTTCTGCAAACTTGCTGCACAAGCAGTGGCTGCATTTCTTTAATTCTACATTCGAACTGGCCAAGCTTTAACAGATTCGACATGAAACACCTGGATCTGGAACGGGGACAGATTGCTTCGGTGTATTTCTGGTTTCCCCCCTTTTTCTTTCTCACACACAGGTTATGAATTATCACTCTACTGGTGTTTTGGAACGGAACATTTTATTTACCCAAATATCATATTTTTAAATTTATTTATCAAATTATCGTTTATTCCATAAAAATATATTTTGAAAATAAATATGTTTTTCAATGCAAAAGTGTTTAAAAACTCACTTTCAAAGGTTTTCCATTGAAGGTGCTTTTAGAACACACTTTTGTATTGAAGAATGTGTTTTCAAAACACTTTTTTTTTTTTAAATTACGGTTCTTTGGTAAACAAGTTTAAAACCACAATATATGGATAAACAAATTTTAAAACAAGATATGAGATTGTTTGATAATACCACTTAATATTGAATATTTTGAACACTTAATAAATTAAACTTGGTTGATAATTTAAAATTTATATCACTTAATATATTAAGAGTAATGCTAGATGAACTTAAAAACTACACTTGATAATCTCAACCGTTGAAAAGGTAGTGAATACCAATAAATGTTGAAACTCACAGTAAAATCAATTGTTGTAATTATTAAGTCTAATTTTTAAATTCATGTAATATTACTCATATTTTAAACATTTCTTAAAAATAGGCTAAAATTTTAAAAAGCAAGCCACATACTTATCACTTAATGCTGAAAATGTTAGCCACTAATAATTTTATAAATCCTTCATAATTAACAAATAAACCCATTTGCCGCCACCATCGCCAGCACCACCATTGTGCCACTGCCACCACCACCATATTTGACTTGCTTCTATATTTGATCTTCCTTCTATATTTGACTTCACATGGTATATTTCTCATTTGATTGATTTTTTTTTGACCTATTAAATTTTGAAAAAGAAATTTTTCAATCAAATTCTTCATAGCCTTATTTCTCATTCCTTTAACATCCCATTCTCTGATCTCTTTTAACTTCTTGTCATCCTCTCCTCTTCTCTCTAGCTCTAACACTATTACGACAAATTCATCGGGCTGGAAAAGGGGCGAGGTGGAGATACTAGATATAAATCCCGTATATCGTATGGTCTGCCTCAACCAAAGTTTTATTACTGATCTTTTTTTAATAATTGTTGATCGAATCAAACAGAGAGAGAGAGAGCATAAAATAAGGAAATAAGGAGAGCACTAGCGTGGGTATTTGTGATTTATTAAAACCGCCCGCTGGAATCAAGTCTTAAGGCAAAGAAGGAAAAAGCAAAAGAAATAAAGAAGAGAAGAATGAGAATAACGTAGGGCTAACATAACAAGCTTTCTGTGGAAGAAATGACCATAATGTGAGTGACCATGTATGTATATATATATATATGACCTTATTACATTAACAACCCACTACATTCAAATAGGAGATAACTCAAGTTGAAGTTAAGGAAGAACTCAAGTAAGTACTTTTACAATTGGTTTGGTTGTTTTTATGGATTTGGCTTCTTCTATGCCACTATGCTGGCAACCTAATTAGTAGCAATGTATTTAACCAGCTACCCATTTCATTGTGTTTTGCTTGCAGTTTTTTTCACTAATTATAATAGGTTAAATGCTAAGGTTAACTCTAACATGAATTAAGTTATTTGGAATTGATTCAACATCGACTCGTTAAAAGCTCAGTCAACCTTGAATACATTTCTAATCTTGCATTTTTCTGTGTTCGTTTTATTAACTGGTTAACAGCCATTCCTTTATTTTAAATACTTAGACTTTGTTTGAGGTTGACTTGACAAGAGTTCATTGGAGAATGGTTCATAAGATGAAGATACATATAGGCTCCACTCAATTACGACCTTAGTTGATGCAGCAAAAGATGTGATAAACGTGTAGGCTAACTGGTAGAGATGTGACAAACATGTAGGCTAGGAGACTGCATGTGCCAGTTGAAAAAATGATGGCCCATTATTGATGCCATATTGGGGGTTCCTTATTGGGGTCCTCGTGGAAACAACTTCAGTCTGTTCCTTAATGGAAATACCTTTCTTTATTGGGTAAGATTAGGTAAGATCAGTGGAAGGAATCCCATTCGATACTTTTTTTCTCTAATTTCATTGAAAGATAGATTGTCCTGCATTAAGCTTAATAATGGATTGTGTCCTGTTGACTTTATGTTGTATTTAAGTAGTGTCGTATTAAAATGTTGAAAAAATTTTATCTACATCTCTTGTAATTAGCCTTATCTTTAATCATTTCCTGTATTACTTGAAACTTCTTTGACACCCTTTGTTAAAGATTGTTTGCTTATAGTGTTAATGGAAAAGGTTGTTTTACAAAAATACCCTTATCTATTCTATATGCATTAAATTCGATAATTTTGTGAATACATTTCAAGACTCTAAATTAACTATAGTTATGTTATTTCACCAAACATATGTAATGTCCCAACCCTAATCTGTTGACTATTCCTACTCTCCTACATATTCAAAAAGTCATATATCCATTACCCGGGGCAGCCCAAGTAAAATGGGGGCCCTAGGCAAAAATATTCTATGAGGCCCCAGGCAATATAATAATATAGATATAAAAAAATAAATACAAAAATATTCATTTAATTTTAATTTTTTTTTTGTAAAACTATTAATTTTGTATTCAAACTTTAGTTATAAAATATTAATGTATGTTCATCTTATTTATAATCACGTATAATTAACGAGTTTGTGTCGCGTTTCTTTTGAGTCAACTCGACGTATTAATTTGAGGGTCCAAATAATTTTATCCACGTATTATCAAATCTACTAAGACTAGACTCAAACTCCTTAATATTATGTCAATTTTTTTATTGTTTTATAGATCATACCTAAAATTTCAAGACTAATTAAAATTGTGGGCACTAAAATTATTTTAATTGAATCTTAGGTCAAATTATCTTCAATGAATATTTTTGTCTATTTACAACTCTAAGGAGTAACTTTGGCATTTTCAAGGAATCATTGGTCAAATCTTTTACTTTTTCAGTTGTTTTGAACCGCCGTTAACCGTAGTGATATGAGTGATTTCAAAGTATGATTTAGAAATGTGTGCAATGAAGTTTTAGGTAATAAGGGGGGTGTGATTGAAAATAGGCCTAACTATAGGGGGTATAGATGAAATTTTTCCTAAAATTATAAAAGTGTACAGCTTGTTTCGTATCGTGTCGAGTTATAAATCATGTTTAAGTGGTTCATGTCGTGTTTAAATTTCGTGTTCACCTGGCAGCGGAGTCATTTAGACATAAATAAATGAGCGAAATTGAAGAAAAAAGTATTGAAGATTTGGATTCAAGAATATTATAAACGAATTTAGTCAACATATCATCACTATATTTGACTTAGATTCTATGTGGCCCAATCAGCAGATCACAAAAAAAAAAAAAAAACACCCAAAACAGGATTGAGGTCAACAGTTTCAAAAAGGGCTTGTTGACGTAAGTCGTTTGGTCTTTGGTGCTGGAAGCACATCCAAGTGCAATGAAGGAAAGAAGAAACTAAGCATTTTGAGTTAATTTGATTTCAGATCTCCAGAAACATTCAAATTTATAATGATTTTGCCAATGACTGATTGAATGGTTGATAAATATAAAGCCTGGTCTAGTATATATAGCATTCTTTACATTCAGATAAATCTGCCACCTGCACTGATGATTTTATGAACTTCAACCCACTGTAAGTACCTTTGAATCCTTAAATTACTTAAAATAACATTCATCTATCTCTAGAGTGTGATTCCTTTATGGTCTATTCTTTTACTGGAAGGGCATGCACTCTGCATAATTCCTTGATTATAGCGGATGATCAAAATTTTATTTTGGTACATACTTTGGGTAAGCTTGAAATGGAAACATTTTGGAAAATATTTATTTCCGCAACATTCCAAAACATGGTCGAAACATCCCCAGACACATTGAAAATTAGAAAGTTTGATATTGAATCACCAATTCGTTTCACAATTTAAATGACTCTAGTATTTTTGGTTGTTTCAATAGAGAACAAACAAAATTTTAATCCTTTGTTATAAGGAGGTTTTTTAAGCCTCTGGCACTTTTACTGCTCCCCTATGCTCTGATGCCTTGCTTATTTTCTCTCTTCTTTTACTTGAAGTGGATGCACATTCTGTATACTTCCTTGCTTACATAGTAGTTATCGAACAGATGGATTTGAGCTTCTAGCATGTTTTGCTTCAAGTGGATTACATTATAACAATATATGGTTATATAGAAGTCCATAAAATGTTCAATGAGAAATGTAACTTGTTTGGTACAGATCATAACAGCTATGCAGAGTGATTAGTTTGTGTATATGAACACAAATCAGGCAAAACTCGAGAATCAGAGCAATGTTAAGTTCATTTTAGAATATCACACCCGTTTTCCTACAACAGAATCACTTGGCATTATTAAACAGAACCATATCTAGTGAGAATTGCACATATATTAACATGACCATATATATTATCTTCTAGTATCCAGTGGTCTGGGATCAAGAGTTCGAGTTGTAGAAACAATCTCTTTGTATATAAGGTAAGAATGCATACATGTGACCTTTCCTAGAGTCTGCAGTAGTGGGAACCTTGTTCACTAGGCCACCCTTTTTCATCTACTGGCCGCAATCTTGTGGCCACTCGGGGAATTATTCTGAATTCCTTCCTTTTTTCTGTCTGTATTCCAACAATCATCCCTGCATTTTATGCTTTGAAACTAGGCATGACAACGCCGAGCCGAGCAATGTCTGGAATAGTTCCTGAAGAACTGTCAGAAGAAAATTATGAGTTCTGGAAAGGATGCTTGAAAAGCTATCTGGTTGGCCATGGCCTTTGGGGTGTTGTTTCAAGAAGAGAGCCAAAACCCGAAAAAAATTCCCCGTTGCATGACGAATGGAAGAGGAAGAATGCACTGGCTTTGCATGCCATTCAACTATCATGCGGTTCAGGCATATATTCTAAGTTTAAGGAAGCTCATGTTTCTGCAGACTATGCTTGGCACCACTTGGCCGAAAAGCGTCGCCGGCCACCGGTGGCAATGGTGCTGACTGATCATGAAGAAGAAGGCCATTCGGAACACAATGGTAATGCTTTTGTTTTTTTCTATTGGAAAATTACGTTATCTCAACTATGCATTTGTATCTCACATTGCAACTTCCCCGTCACATTTCTCACATTGCATTCACATTATACCTTGAATTATGATGATTGGTATCATATTGCTCTCTTGGCTATCAAATTTCACCTATGAGTATTAGTTTTAGATTACCAAATTTTCAACATTAGAAATGCCAATTTTTACTACATATTTTGACATTTTCAACCCAAAATATGACTAACTTTTAATACTTAGTCAGTGTAAAATCAATGCAAGTAGTTGAGAGGATAATGTAAGAAATTCAATAGCTAAGAGGCCAAAATGAGACCAATATCATAGTTTGAGTGGACCAATGTGTAATTTATCCTTGTTTCTTGTTTTTTTCCCTGGAATGTAGATGTAGACAGTGGTAATTGACTATTATAGTATTGTACTTGCTGAAGAAAGTTCATAGAAACAATTGACTTCACATTTCAACAGGTAAACATGCTTCATTCCCACCAGCAAAAAAAAAAAAAAAAAATTCTTCATTTCCAAGAGTCATCTAGGTGCATTAGTTTTTGTCAATCATCTTTTTTCACATTAATCTCAATATTTCGCAGCATTTTTCACTGCAGATCAATCTCAATTAGGTGCTGCCTTGATGCTAGCTTGATTATTTCGACTGACTGTGAGAATCATTGCAAATATTAGCATTTTCTAAGCTGTTTGGAACATCTATAATATGAGATTACCAAAAGTTCAGTCATAATCTATAGATGGGCACTCTAGAATGATGGGCACATTGCTTCATATGAGATTACCTCTGCTAGATCCATCGTTGTGCTATTGATGGGCACTCTAGAATGAAGAGTCGTAGCCATTAGTGTGTATAGTATAGTAATAACTGTCACGATTTTAAAGAAAGAAACATTTTCAGGGACGGAACATCATCAATATGCGGAACTGTACAAGGCAGTGGAAAAAGGCGACTGGAAGGAGACGCACCACATCCTTCAGCGTGAACCAAATGCGGTTAGGGCAATAATTTCATCGCACAAAGATACAGCTCTTCACGTTGCAATTCTATGTGGACACACAAAGATAGCAGAGGAGTTGGTGAGGTTGATGAAACCAGAAGACTTAGAATTGACAAACGAATTCAGGGCCACTGCTCTCTCTCTTGCTGCCATCAGTGGAGAAACAAAGCTGGCCAAGGCAATGGTGAGGAAGAATGACAAGTTGGTTAGAGTTGCACATGATCATGATGATGGAAATCTCCCTGTTATTGTGGCTGCTTTGTATGGCCGGAGGCGAATGGTCCGGTATCTCTATTCCAAGACACCCAAGGATGAGCTAAGTCCCGAAAGAGGCGAACATGGTGCCACACTGCTCAATTGTCTCATCACTGCTGATATCTATGGTAAGATTGCACAGTAATTCTTGATGCATCTGTTGCTGGAACTAGTCCAATTGGTGTTATGCCCACTTAGAACTCACATCATACACACACTAATCTCAATTATATGTTAACAAATAGGCTAAAAAATAAAGAAAAACCTTTTTTATTTTTTTGTAGAAAAACTCCTAGCATCTATATATCATAATTCTCCCAATTCTTGTTGTTTGCTTATAGATGTTGCTTCAATGCTGCTGAAACGGTATCCACATCTGGGCGTGGTCCGAGATCATTATGGGAACTACACACTCAGAATGTTGGCTCACAAGCCTTCTGCTTTCCCAAGTGGAAGTAAATATGTAAGCTGGAAAGGATTGATCTACTCATGTGAGTACCCTATTTAATGCTATCCTTCTTGAATTAGCCTATCTGCATACATACTGTTTAAACAGTTACAGTTTGACCCCCCTCATATACGTCCCTTATCTCGAATTGCACCTAGACTATGGTTCTTGCTCTCAAGTACCCTAGTTCTCACATTGCACCTCCAAGAATGTTTATTGGTTTCACATTACCCTAAATATTGGATATTGAAAATGTGTATTTTACTACACAAATGGATGTTTTATGTCCAAAAACATGACGGGTTTAATTTGGAGGCAGTGCAAAACCAATTTAAAGTAGTTGAGTGAGCAATGTTAGAAACTCAATAGTAAAAAGGGGCAAAAGTGAGACTAGGGTCATAATTGAGGGAGTGAAAATATAATTTTCCCATGAGTCTAAGCAAAAGAGTTGGCATATGGTCATAATGATGGAGTTAATTTCACTCTGGTACTTCTACAATTTCAGATATTTACACGCTGCACCCCATTCCCTCCTTCACCTTTCAAACATAGTTTTGCCGCCAATGCTAAGTTGCTTGAACCTTGTGTTTTAATATTGACAATTATGTAGAGAATGGGCTCTAGGGCAATAATAAGATTATCCCACTACAGCGTGAGCACTACGATTCGAGTTATAGATATGATCTATACTCTTATGGGTAAAAATGTGTACAAAATCTGTTAGAAGTCTTATACCGACCGTCAATATATTTTTTCTTGAATAATGAATCACCTAACATACATTTAAATGAGACCTATTGTATAAATTGGGATCTCTCACTCATTAATGGTTGATGATTCATCAAGAAGAAAATTGAAGAAAAAATATATTAGAGGAGATCTGAATCCTAATTTTTTGGGGACCAAGTTATAATTTTCGGGGGATAGTAATTTTTTTTTTTGGATACTTTTGGATTCTCACTTAAAACTTAAGAGAAGAAAAGGAAATGATTATTAGTTTCTGTTTCCTAACTACACCAAGGCTTGCGGGAGTAGGGGCATCATATTGTGATGATGGGTTCATCCATGAAATCGAATTAATCTTTTTTAGAAGTGAGAAATGCAATCATTTCATTTGAATATATATTCCCACTGCAGGGGTAACCGTGCATTCACCATGGGATGGTCAAAGGTGGCACCACCATGGATCGGTTGATGTAGAGAGCAATAAAATTCAAGGACTGAGCAGTGATGAAAGGAGCATCGAAATTCACGATTCTAGTGATGAAGAGCTCGACGGAATGCCGCACAAAAGTCCCACTGTCGGAGGAACTATAGTCAACGAAGGCAAGTTTGTTGACTCTCTCTCTCTCTCTCCTCCCCCCCCCCCCCACCCCAACAAAAAAAAAACATAACAATAACCATGAGGTAGTAAATTCACCATATTTAGATACTAACAATAAGCCTGTGACATATTTTGACTTATTCAGACATTCTGTAAGACCAATAATCGAGTATTAATTGTGAAGTGTTTATATTTTAAATAATAATTTTTTTTTATTTATGTAATTCAAAATTAAAATAGATATAGAGAAAATGAGCACGAGTTTGGGGAGATAGAAGAGAAGTAGCCGTGATTTAGTAGGGTTGTTTGATATTGAAGACTGTGTTGATTTGGTTGTTTGACATTAGGAGCCGTGTACAGAAGATAACTTTCTTAGACGGATTTTTTTTTTTTTTTTTGGAATGAATTTTGTACAGTTAGATAAAATTACAAGAAGATTGGATTAATCTCAACCAATATTGCTGTGTTTTTATATATGTGCAATTTAAATTGTTGGCTGTAATATTAGATAGAAGATTAATGGGATAATTCTTTTTTTTCATATTGATAAGATATTCATTTATGGGTGTAATTACTTAAGGATTCTTAGGCTGAAATTCAGCAGTAATCACAAAAGTTGCTTCCGCTATTGTACTACTGATATTAGACATGTTACGATCGATTAGAGCTAGCAATACCTAACATGATATGCTAATCAAATACAAAATCAACATAAAGTTTTGTTTATTCCATATATATTAGGGTCATAAGCGAGTTAATTGGATATACATTCTTTCACAATAAATGAGTTGACATAAACTCAATTTTGCAAAACTCGCAAAGCTAACTATAGTTAATACAAACCTGACTATTCATTAAAGTTGGCTTGTCGATGATGAGAAGATTTCGATACGACACTAATTTACTATCGGACGAAGACACAAACCCAACGCGCCAAGACTCATTGTCATGAATTTATGCTTCTGATTACTTATTTTACATGCTCATGATAAAGGCTGGAAAATCTCACTCGATCATTCTCATATTGAGTTTTGCAGTACTGTGGCTATTGCATGGTTTGGGTTGGAGAATTTTAAGATGCGTCGGTAATTATCATCTCCTAATATTTTCTCTCTAATTAATAAAATGTTAAATAGATACATTGAATAGTATTGACTTATTTTTTTTTTTTTGTTGTTTTAAATCACAGTCCCAGACATCAAGCATATACATGACAGAAAACTGGTACATGTTGAAGCTGTTAAACTCCTGAGTGTCATTTTTAAGGAGTTACCAAAACTAAAAAAGTCACAACTTGAAAGCATGGAAATAGATAAAGCAATATATGATGCCATCAAGCATGGGATCATTGAATTTGTTGATGAAATACTCAAGTACAATCCCGAAATCATATGGCGAAAAGATAATAAAGGAAGAACAATTTTTTCCAATGCTATTGTTCTTCGCCAAGAGAAGATTTTCAGCCTGATTTACAGACTGGGAACAAAGAAGAGTATAATGGCCCGTCGGCATGATGTGTTTGGTAACAACTTCTTGCATCTGGCTGCAAAATTATCTCCTCCTACTCAACTCGAGCGCGTTTCTGGGGCAGCTATGCAGATGCAAAGAGAACTACAATGGTTTAAGGTAACCACATTCATTTCTTAGATTCTGCTTCTGCTCCCCCTTCCCCCCTTCCTTGATTTGTTGCGAAAAATTGGAGACAAGTCCACAATTGGGGTAATGCAAAACTCAAACCAATCATTCCAGTTGGAATGTGAAAAAGTGGATAGTTTAAGTGGTAATGTATAACGAGGGGTATAGTTAAGGAGATGTAAGCGTAATTTGATCAAAAACATTTATTTTCCCTTTTTTGACATGAACATAAGATTCTTAACTACCTCTTCAATATAGGAGGTGGAAAGCATGGTACAACCCAAATTGAAAGAGGAAGTGAATGAAAATAACAAAACACCGGGCACTTTGTTCACTGATGAACACCAGGAGTTGGCAAAAGAAGGGGAAAGATGGATGAAGAACACTGCAGGATCAAGCATGATTGTAGGCACTCTCATTGCCGCGGTGATGTTCACAACAGCCTTTACAGTTCCGGGTGGTAACAACAACAAAAATGGCCTGCCTATCATGGCGGAAACCCAGCCTCGGGCATTCTTGGTTTTCATGGTTTCAAATGCCTTATCAATGTTCACTTCTTCAACCTCAGTGCTTATGTTTTTAGGAATTCTCACAGCGCGTTATGCAGAAGAAGATTTCCTCAAGTCCTTGCCCACAAAACTTATCTTTGGCCTTTCATGCCTCTTCTTCTCCATTGTGACCATGATGGTATCCTTCGGGGCGTCTCTGTATTTGATACTCCATCAACAGTTGAGTTGGGTTTCCATTCCGATTATAGTTTTTTCCATTATTCCGATAGCTCTTTTTACAATGCTGCAATTTCCACTCCTCCTTGAGATGATCTACCGTACCTATGTAACTGGCATCTTTGACAAGCCAAAGAAACACCATCTCCACCTTCTTCATTAGCGGACTATCTATCATCGAACTATGAGTTAATCAAATGCGGTTGCAAACTATTGTATTTCCCCAATGTCATATCTTTTAAATCTTTGTAATGGTTATTGTTATGATTTTTCAAAAGACTTGAAGTTTATATGTATAATGTGAGTGCTGTTGAGCTGTTATATGGCTCGTTTGTTAAACTTTTTTGTCTTTTTATGAACGCAGCATGGTTGAATAAATCATTTTTGAATTTAATTTATAATGCATGTTCGAAAATCATTTCTTTTGTGCCCAGTTAATTGTGAATTGCAATTAAAGCTTGCATTACTTGTCCAAAGTTTTCAATGGCTATAAATGGGAGTTAGCAGGGTATTCTCCCTCCCAATGCTAGTGAACTTTGATTTAGTGATCCCATTTTTCTCCACATATTTTTGTAGTGGACATTGTTAAGAAATATAGGGTTATTTTGTTTATTAAGGGTATAATAGTCCTTTATTTTCCCTGCCTTGTTTAGCTTATATATAATCTTTTTGTATTTAGGTTAAATTACTTCCTTGTATTTCAATTGAATTATGCAGTATCAATAAAACTCTAGCCTCTTCTTTTCTTATCTCTTGTATTTCTTTAGATTGTTCAAAATGGTATCAGAGCAAAGTTTCATGGGACAAGGCTTAATCTCAAACACAATTTACGCGAATCCAACTTTCGCGGATCCAGTTTACGCGGATCCAGTTTACACAGTTTATCAGAGCAAAGTTTGAAAAGATATTTATTCTGTTTAAACAATCTGGTATTTGTTCCGTTTTTGTAATATGGTATTTGTTTCATTTTTTACAATCTGGTTTTCTTTGTTTGTTGATTATGGCTACTGCAAGAAACGATTCGCTTTAGTCTGTGAGTGTGAGGTTGGATGGAAAGAATTCTTCGTATTGGAGTTACGTGATGAGAAATTTTCTTAAGGGTAAAAAGCTATGGGGATATGTTAGTGGAACTTCTGTGAAACCTAAGAATATTGATGCGGGTTATGCTAATTTGATAGATGTCTGGGAAGCAAATAATGCAAAAATTATTACTTGGATCAACAATTCTGTTGAGCATTCTATAGGTACGCAGTTGGCAAAGTATGAGACATCAAAGGAGGTCTGAGATCATCTGCAAATGTTATTCACTCAATCAAATTTTGCAAAACAGTATCAATTGGAGCATGACATACGAGCTCTTCAGCAGAAGAATATGAGTATTCAGGAGTTTTATTCTGCTATGACAGATCTTTGGGATCAATTGGCTCTTACAGAATCAACTGAATTAAAGGCATGTGGTGCCTATATTGCTCGTAGAGAGCAACAACGGTTGGTACAATTTTTAATGGCACTTCGTAGTAATTTTGAAGGACTTAGAGGTTCAATTTTGCATCGTTCACCACTTCCTTCCGTTGACTCAGTTGTCAGTGAGTTATTTGCTGAAGAGATAAGTCTTAAGTCTTATTCTGACAAGGGAATTATTTCTACTTCTGATCATTCTATGCTAGCAGTACCTTCTAAACTATTCTTTCATAATCAGAATAAGCCTTACACAAGGCCTGCCTTCGATGAGTGCAATTTTTGTAAGCAGAAAGGTCATTGGAAGGCTCAATGTCCTAAGTTAAGATAGCAGAATCAATCGTAGCAGCATTCTCAAGCTTGGAAGTCTGGCAACCAGTCACAATCTAATGCTCCTAGACCACCTTAGGGTTACAAACCACCACAATCTAATACTACAGCAGTAGTTTCATCAGGTCCTTTCACCGATTCCAGTACCTTGGTTGAGCAATTTTAGAAGTTTCTCTCCTTACAGCCACAAGCTATGTCTGCTTCTTCTTCAGGAGGTCAGTTGCCTTATAGTTCTCCAGGTGTGTCACATTCTGTATGGGTCTTGGATTCTGGTGTCTGACATCATATGTCTCCAGATTCTTCATCTTTTGCTTCTGTATCTCCTTCATCTTCTATTCCTGTTATGACTGCTGATGGCACTCCTATGCCTTTAGCAGGTGTTGGTTCTGTTGTCACACCTCACTTGTCTCTCCCTAATGTTTATCATATTCCAAAACTCACATTAAATCTTGCTTCTGTTGGTCAGTTATGTGATTCTGAAAATTTAGTCACATTTTCCTCTTCTTCTTGTTATGTGCAGGATCTGCAGTCTCAGAAGCTGATTGGGATAGGCCGTAGGAAGGGGGGACTATATATTTTGGATGAGTTAAAAGTGTCAGTTGATGCTGCTGCTACTAGTGTTGATTTATCTTCTTTTCGTTTGAGTCCTTCTTCTTCTAGTTTTTATTTATGGCATTCTCGTTTAGGTCATGTTTCGTCTTCTCGTTTGAGATTTTTGGCATCCATAGGGGCTTTAGGAAATTTAAAAACTTGTGATATTTTTGATTGTAGTGGATGTAAACTGCCAAAATTTTCAGCTTTACCTTTTAATCGAAGTATTTCTATTTCTTCTTTTTCATTTGATTTGATTTATTCTGATGTATGGGGACCTTCTCCTGTTGCCACAAAAGGATGGTCTCGATATTATGTTTCTTTTATTGATGATCATACTCGTTATTGTTGGATTTATTTAATGAAACATCGTTCTGAATTCTTCGAGATATATACAGCCTTTCGAGCTCTTGTCAAAACTCAACATTCTATTGTTATCAAATGTTTTAGGTGTGATTTGGGTGGGGAATACACTTCTAATAAATTTGTTAAGTTGCTTGCCTTAGATAGAACTATTCATCAAACTTTGTGTACAGATACTCCTAAGCAAAATGGTGTTATTGAAAGAAAACATAGGCACATTGTTGAAACTGCTCGTTCTCTCTTGTTGTCTTCTTCTGTTCCTAGTGAGTTTTGGGGTGAAGTTGTTCTTACTGTTGTAGGTTTGATTAATACAATTCCATCTTCTCATATTTCAGGTGTTTCTCCTTTTGAAAAGTTGTATGAGTATGCCCTTGATTATTCTTCATTTAGAGTTTTTGGTTGTACTTGTTTCGTTCTTCGTCCTCATGTTGAACGCAACAAGCTGTCTTCTTGATCTACTATTTGTGTCTTTCTTGGATATGGTGAAGGTAAAAAGGGGTATCGTTGTTTTGATCCAATAACTCATAAACTTTATGTGTCTCGTCATGTTGTTTTTCTTGAGCATATACCTTTTTTTTCTATTTCATCCACTACTTATAGCTTGACTAGATCTGATCTTATTCGTATAGATCCTTTTTCTGAGGATTCTGATAATTTGTCATCTCAGGTTTCTAATACTTCAAAGAGCAACACTGATCATTCTATAGGTACTGACACTTTACTCTCTAGCACACCTGAAGCTACCTCCTCTCCTATGGTCCCTCAACCTTCGTCTGAGATTGTGGATCCACCTCTACGTCAATTCACTCGCATTCGTAAGTCCACAAAGTTACCAGATTTTACTTATTATTGTTATTCTTCATCTTTTACTTCCTTTTTAGCTTCTATTCATTGTCTTTCTAAGCCCTCTTCCTATAAAGAGGCAATTCTTGACCCTCTTTGACAGCAAGCTATGGATAAGGAACTTTCTACTTTGCATAAGACAGACACTTGAGATTTGGTTCCTCTACCTCCTCATAAGAGTGTTGTTGGTTGTCGGTGGGTGTATAAAATTAAGACCAATTTTGATGGATCTGTTGAGCGATACAAAGCTAGGTTGGTTACAAAAAGGTACTCTCAACAGTATGGTATGGATTATGAGGAGACATTTGCTCCTGTTGTAAAAATGACTACTATTCGTACTCTTATTGCAGTTGTTTCGGTTCGTCAGTGGCATATCTCTCAACTTGATGTTAAAAATGCCTTCTTGAATAGGGATCTTCAAGAAGAAGTTTATATGGCTCCCCTCCTGGTGTTTCACATGATTCTGGGTATATTTGCAAGCTCAAGAAAGCGTTATATGGTCTCAAACAAGCACCTCGTGCTTGGTTTGAAAAATTTTCTGTTGTGATCTCTTCCTTTGGGTTTACTTCTAGTAGTCATGATTCTGCTCTTTTGTTAAGTGCACTGATGCAGGTCGTATCATTCTGTCTTTATATGTTGATGACATAATTATTACTGGTGATGATATTAATGGTATTTCAGTTTTGAAGACAGAGTTAGCTAGACAGTTTGAAATGAAGGATTTGAGTTCTCTACGATATTTCTTGGGTATTGAGGTAGCCTGCTCACCCAGAGGTTATCTTCTTTCTCAATCGAAATATGTTGTAGATATTCTTGAGTGAGCAAGACTTACTGATAATAAGACTGTAGATACTTCCATTGAGGTTAATGCAAAGTATTCCTCTTCTGATGGTTTACCTTTGTCAGATCCCACTTTATACCGTACTATTGTTGGGAGCTTGGTATATCTCACTATTACTCGTCCAAATATTGCATATGTTGTTCATGTTGTTAGTCAATTTGTTGCTTCTCCTACTACAGTTCATTGGGCATCAATTCTTCGTATTTTGAGGTATCTTCGGGGTACAATTTTTCAGAGCCTTTTACTTCCATCCACCTCTTCCTTGGAGCTGTGTGCATACTCTAATGCTGATCATGGCAGTGATCCCACAGATCACAAATCTATTACTGGTTTTTGTATCTTTTAGGGTGATTCTCTTATTTCTTGGAAGAGTAAGAAACAATCTATCGTTTCTCAATCTTCAACTGAAGCAGAATATCGTGCTATGACATCTACTACCAAAGAGATTGCTTGGTTACATTGGTTACTTGCAGATATGAGAGTTTCTCTTTCTCATCCCAATCCTATGTATTGTGACAACCGGAGTTCTATTCAGATTGCTCACAACTCGACTTTTCATGAACGAACTAAGCACATTGAGATTGATTTTCATCTTACTCGTCATCATCTCAAGCATGACACCATTACTTTGCCCTTTGTTTCTTCTTCTTAGTAGATTACAGATTTCTTTATCAAGTCGCATTCTATTTCTCGTTTTCATTTTCTAGTTGGCAAACTCTCAATGTTTGTCGCTGCTG